ATTTTAGGTAATATTAGTTTGGTTTGCTTCCTCTTATGTTTCGTTTTTCCAAGCCTGTTTGTCTTCTTCTGACTGCTCCTGTAAAATGATTTCAACAATTACTTCATACAAACACAAACAAATGCATGAAAGACAACTTTTAAATACAACAATGCCATGCATAAAGCTTCAGCATTGGAGATATTTAAACAGATTGCCTGGCTCGCTGATATTTAATTATTTGCAACACTAGACTAAACCTAAACTTTTCTAGCATGTATGCTTTTTCGGCATAACAAATTTTCTTGTTATACAATATGCAGAAGGACATCATTCACCCTGAGGAGATCATTAATCTACGACACAGTTAACAAATGTGGCAAACTCTCAGCTCTCACACTCAGCTATAGCCACTCTTCAAGTTATCTAAACAGGAATTTCTCTAGACTTCAGGTGGAAACATAGTCTGATTAAAACCCTTCCTCCCTTTGTTTGCTGCTACAACTGTTCATTCCTGGCCTGAAACGCTGCACAAAAGCTGACATTTGACTCCTTTGTTTACATGATGTGTTTTGTGAAATGAAACATAATGTTCTCGTTGCCAAATGAAGAACACATTGCGCATGAGATACAACATTTGACAGCTCATGCACCACAGAGTAAATTTTGCTGCTATTTTGAAGCTTGATGGGCTGCGAAGAATCATCTACAGTTTAGTCTTTCACACTGAAGCAGTATGCACAGTGTGCCATCCTCGTATAGCATTTTTCATCAAAAACAATTTGCAAAGTTAAACTCTCTGTGTACAACAATTTACATACACAGTATTCTGATTTGCACACGTCCCGATTAAAAGCAGATTTAATAAGATATATATATATATATATATATATATATATATATATATATATATATTAGGGGTGCAACGATACACAAAATTCACGGTTCGGTTCGGTTCGATACTTTGGTGTCACGGTTCGATATTTTTTCGATACAAAAAAAATGTTCATGCCTTTTTAATTTGTCATTTATTAAAATTATAAATATATATTTTAACTCAAAAGTACAGTTTTTAAATTTAACCCTAACCCTTGTGCGCGTTTTTTATTTTGACAGCGAATGCGCACCTGCGGACCACTTATGTGCAGCCCTGGTTATTTAGCTCGTCATATTGCAGCCACAGAAATTCTTTTGTCCATGAAACCATAAAGCTGCACTTTCTTTTTGCCTTATAGTCTGATTTGTCATAACTTCTCCGTTTTGTGGTAAGCTTTTCTTTGGCTGTCACTTCTTCACCCTGACCTGTCTTATTTGGCTCAGAAGAAATGAAATATATATCCTCCTGCTTTTACACACGCACTCACATAAGCTCAGCGATTCTCTGCGCGATCAACCTCTCACATGTTTAAGCTGCGGGAGATTTCACTTGTCATGTTTGCATAGTGAGCTAACGATTAATAAGACGATGTCAGAGGAATTGGTGCGCAAATTTTCATCACTCACAGATCAGTGCTGTCGCTCTCTATACACAGTTCGCGCGATTGCAAAGTGAAAGCAAAAAAACAAGCGCAAATTCAAACGCGATTTCAATATGTCACATATTGACAGTGGCTCACCGATGCCAATGACATAATTACCCAGCTACATTTCTGAAAGAATGCAAAAGCATTGACATATATTTTTCCTACAATAGCCCGACGGGCAGGGAAGAGATAGATTTTGGTAGCCCGACTGAAAAAAATCGCTAGCCCCAGGACGTCGGGCTAGCGATTTTGCAAGCCCTGTATCTGATTGAGGAATCACTCATCTTTGGAAAAGAGAGTTTATTACAGAGAAATGTCTCTTTCCAAAATAAAAGCTATACTATCCGCTTCTTCTGGGCTATATTCTCAGCAGCATAAGGAGAATCATGTGCTAACAGCTGTCTAAATGACTCGGCTAAAGTTAGTAGCATGCTTGTTGTTTTTGTCTTTGCACTAGGATGATGTCGGCGTAAATGTGCAGTCATATTCGTTGTGTTCCCACTAGTGCTTTCAGGTTGATCTCGTTGAAATGACCTTAACGCCACAACACGGCAAATCTCCGTTAACGAGCTACCGCCGATCGCCCCGTGCATGGGGCTAGACGGCCAACACGTTAACGAGCTAACTGCGCTAACACACTAGCTCCCACCCATGTAATTGAGCATTGCATGGCACATCCAACATACTGTTTTACTTTAGTCCATGACTCGCTTACCTTCAGGGTCATACGTCACATGAAAACCAAAATAATTCCAAACGCCAGATCTGGAGAGCTTAACTTCTGTCTTGCTAGCTTGCCCTGCGCTCTTCCTTCTGACGATGCCGTCTGTGTTGAGCACTCAGTGGATCTGCGCTCGACAGTGCAGCCTAGGCGGAGTAGTCGAACGCAGATTCACTGAGCGCTCAACACAGACAGCATCGTCAGAAGGAGAGTTGATAAAATAAATTACAAATGTTGTATTGTTCGATACATATGCGTACCGAACCGAAAGCACTGTATCGAACGGTTCAATATCGATACGAATATCGTTGCACCCCTAATATATATATATATATATATATATATATATATATATATATATGCATATATAGTGTAGGACCACACTGATTTTAATGATTTCACATTCATTAAAAAAAGCGACAGAATACTTACAATATTTTACATGGCAGATTAATACAATCATTTACTTTTACAGATCCTTAGAAAAAAATACCAGTACATTGAATATCGCGTAGAGCTACTATGAAAAAAGGCGCTCAAGTTTGGCATATGGCACAACACGTAGGCACAAGCAATTCTAGTGATTACAACAGGTGTTACTGTCCCGCTTGGCTAAACTTTTTCAGAGAAGTGACTCCACTTCAACCCATACCTGTTGTAATGGCTGCTTAACTATACACTGGTAAAAGCATACGTCTGCACTATTTGCTGCAACAGCACACACTGAAGGTTGTGCAGGACAGGCTGATGAAAGCTTTTTGCTGGTTTAGAGCATCCACAAGGATGCACTGTGGTAAACAAATAGACATTCGTACATATGTCAGAGTTTGCAGAGAAAGTACAATACTGTACTACATCTGTGCTTCATGGTGAAATCGTTACTGAGTGCAGTGCAACTCACAACTCATCTTCTTGAAGTGGCCAAAGTTTGAACGGCACTACGTAGATCACTCGACGGAAAATTCTGCTAATCAGGTGTAAAAGTGAAAAGCTGCTGATCTGATATAGAAGCAGTGTGAGGCGCTGTAATTAGCTATGAAAGACATTTTCTCTACGATCATGTCTTCATGCAGTGACAGAGGAAAAGAACCAACGATAAGCAGATCCTGTGCCGCGCAGCAACACGGTGATCTGTTCTTTTTAGACATCTGGAAAAAAAGTGGCAGACTGGTGTGAAGCCATATGAGCTTGACAAATACAATTAACTGATTTATTTTTTACACTATAATGAATTCGTTAATACGAGACTTTGATGAATGGGGCAGCTCTGTACAAAGCAGAAAGAACAAAACAAGACACATATACGTATCGGTGGCTTGTGAAAGTGGCTTTTATAGTTCTGTCAGTATATTTTTATGTTTACCACACATATTGAATCTGCGTAGTCCATACAATACTAATGTAACACAAATAGTTTTACCTCTCAACTTAGTGCAGAAACTTCAATTCAGACACCCTGATGTGGTAATGACGGTTTTCTTTGAGTATAACTTGTATGAGTTGAGTATGACTACACGGTGGAGGTCCCCCCTGCAAATGTTAAAAACAACCGTTCTTCTATATACATTTGTATGTGAGGTATGTGCATCCCTTTTAATCAGATGTGGTGGTGGTGGGGGTGGTGGGGGGGGAGGGTTGTTTTGTTTTAAAATAACACAGTGAAGGCTCCTGTACTGTCGGCAGTCCACATTAAAACAAAACCTGCTGCCATTTTAGGTTTCCAGCTACCTCGAGGCCACCTGGGCTGTAAGAAGGGGATTCAGCAGTATAGCATTGTTATCTCCTTTGACAAATTTTGTTGCATCTTAGTTGAATATTTTGCAAATCTCCTTTTGGCACAGTGATAGGCTAAAGACGGCTTATTCTCCCATGTGTCTCCTAATCATAGATCCTGAGGTCTATCATTTTTTGGCCCAGCAGGTGTGGAGCTGTTAACAGATTGAATTTAGGGATTGTTTTAGCTTAGACTCACACAGAGCTACATTTGAAACATGTGCATCCAGTAAAAAAAAACAAACATGCCACAAATCCACTTCACAAACAGTCCGGATGTGCTACCCAATCAATGTAACCAGTGTGTAAAAAAGCTTGCACAGCCATGTAGTTAGGTACACTAGCTGGCAGAGTAGTGGCCTGATGCAGTTACGCATTCTGGCTAAAATGTTCTGTGCTGTTGTGTCTTAGCCGTGTCCTGAATGGTTGTGTGAATGTGGCTTATGTGTACGTGGATAATCAGAGCCCCGTGGTGACCTGGGTGACTTCTGAGTTGAGATCGTCATTGGGAACACTGCCACAACAGCGAGAGTCCACTGACGACCCCTCCAAGGCTAGTCATACCTGCAGAGAAAGAAAGGATGTTTATCTTATTACACACTTTGTGAACCCATGGCCATGAGTTCACTAGAAATTCTTGGATAACTTTGAGGTTTGGCGATAAATTCATTATTGCTTTGTTGCTGAGAGTTTGATACTGCTTTTATCTTTGTAAAGCAAACATGACTGTTTCATTTAATGGTAGGTCCGGACATAGACACAAATTAAATGTAAACAAGAAGCACTGCAGTGAAGTGCAAGAAGTGCAGTCAGAGCTCAGCTCGCTAAATATTATGGAGACAAATTTACTTTTGTGGAAATGTTGTACATGCTTTCAAAAAGTGCATTGTACTTTGTTGTTATTAATGTGTTTAATAAAGAACCAAAAAAAAAGAATTATAAGAATTATAACAAATACATTTGAACCGAAAATGGCATATTTTTGAGTAAGGACTTGATCCTAATAGGTCCATCTGATAGGAGGATAAACTGAGATAGAAAGTATACCCTACCATTGCAATTTCGAGACCCTTCAGTAGTCATATTAGTAGCAGTTATACACGTCAGAGTGGGAGCATAGAGGGCTGGGCTGGGACTGGGTTTAAAAGCCCACCAGTGAGAGGAGCATAATAAGAAACAGGTGAACGCAATCAGACGTTAATGAAGATAGTGAGAGAACAATGGGGGGAAATAAAAGCACCAAACGCCACATGAGAACATATTCTTCAAAATGTCTCACACGAAATGAACAGAAAACACTGAGAGGGGGAACGCAAAAGTCACAGGAATAAAGGAAGGGAAGACATAAAACAAGGAGCTGCAACAGAAACCAGGTATTTTCAAATGTCATTTCCTCTAACTACATAATGCTGTGTTCAATCTGAGACAACACTGTGCTGTTGAAATTCGCCCTGTTATGCAGTCGACATAGTTCACGGTATGAAATGATGCTACAGCCTTAGCTTAAGTTAGCCTAATGCTACAAGCAGGAATAGACATTTTTAACTTGGTTCTGTTCAAAATTAAGACTTGAGCCTCCCCTCATTTTTTACGGAAAAGAGAACTGGGTGAAGCAAATTTGTTGAAAAAAGGTTTAACATACGTGGAAACACAGTATTTAAGGCAAAACAGTGTGTTTAGGAAAAGAAAATGAAGCTATCACCGGTTAGATGCTTTGTGGTTTTACAAAATCTGACAGTACTTTTCTACATTCATAAAACCATCAGTTTGACAAAATCCCCCACTGGGTGAAATAAGCCTCAAACCATGGCAGAGCCTTCACCATGTTTATGCTTTGATTTTTCACACTGCAGCCAGTGAGAAATGACTCTTTCCCTCTCTTAAGAAAGCCTTCTCTATTGCCACCCTTGTATAGAGACCTTTACTGATGAGGCTACAGTGAAGGGGCGGACGCATCTCTCAGGTCCTGTGTCACGTCTTTGCTAGATTTTTTTTTTTTTTTTTTTTTTTTTTTTTTGTTTCCGAAGAACATGACTTTCACATGTTGTTCATCTCCTTTTGTCCAGTTTCCTCAATTTTTTTAAGGACACACCATACATGCAATAGCATTTTGAGAATCACCTTCTTGGTGAAAAACCAGAGCCATTTTCTGACTATCAAACTGTGTCATCTTCCTTTTGAAACTCGCTATTATTATACTATTTAAAAAGTTGTCTATGACTTGTTTTCATGGCACTAGTTTGTCCTTTGAGTTAGGTGTCTTTCTAATGCTCAAGTGGTTCATAGGTCAGTGTTAACAAGCTTACCAAAAAAAAAACCCACCAACACTAACAAATAAACCACCTTGGAAATTGTCAGGCATAAGAGCTGGACTGAAAAGCAGCACATCCAGAGAAAATCTAAGAAAGACCTTAAAAACAAACAGGAGAACTGTTGTTAATAAAAATGTCAAGAAAGTCTGGCTCCTGGAAGCAAGATATGAAAAAATGAAGGCAGGCTCAAGACTTCTGCACAGTACTGCATGTCAGTTTAGATTGCACATACTTTTTGGGGGGAACAGTGACTTTCATTATCTCTGCTTCTGGCAACAAAAATTATGCAAGCCAAGCTTACCAGCTGTGCCACCAACTGTACAGATATTTGAAAGCTGTTGATGTTCTCCTCTAACATTGAAACACAGAGTGAAAGACTTCCACTAAATGCTCCTACCTAACTAACATTCAAGTAATACAGACACTGGTGACCTGTTGATTGGACCTTTCTCCTGTGTTTGCGCTGATGTGTTCACGCTGTGGGATCTTGCGGCTACTGGCTCCAGTCCTGGATGAATTCTGTATCTCCAACACTGAAGGACTTGGGGTGCAGAACTCACGGAAACAACGCTTGAAGTTCTCATCCAGGTAGCCATAAAGGATGGGGTTCAGACTACTGCAGGAGACAAAAAACAGGATCAAAGCTTATAACAAGCACAAAAATCAGCCTAAAGCTAAATTCAACTTTACTATATAATGTGGTTTCCTGATAACATTCTCCTATTATCCCGTCCTGCACCATTTTCCTTTTAAATGAATAATTCTAAAAACAATTATCCAGAATTTTGACAAAAAACAAACTGTGCATATTTTTCTCTGCTAGGCACCTGTTTGTGTAGCCGAGAGCGATGCAGAAATGCCAGGTGATAGTCTGGAAAGTGGAGTTGGGGATGGTGATCAGAGCTGAGATGATGACAAAGATGTGGATAGGAGTCCAGCAGACAATGAAGACGGCAACCACTACGAGGACCATGCGGGTGATTCGACGCAGATTCCTGTCTTTCTCCTGTGTGTGAAAAAGTTAGGCAGATTAGTGATGGGTATAAGACTGGTGAAAAGATGAAAAAGAAAAAAACTGGAGATGGCAGGGAAAGATAAATAATAACGAAAGAATGACAGAGCAGAGAGGCTAGTGTGTGAAAAGGATGGAGATTGGAGAATGTAATCCTGAAAGGGAGGATGAGAGAGTAAGAGGAGAGAATTAAGAGCTATAGGCAGTAACAAATCCTGTGTACAAGAATGTTTACTCTTCCTTTTATTTCTGCTTTAGGATGTTTTCATTATGCAACAACTCAAATACTTAGTGAAAGGTTACTGTCGTGCATTCCAGTGTGGTGTTACCTCACCATTTATCTCCCCCCTTTGAATAAAAAAAGACAACTAGCTTTGAGGCATTTTGGTCATTAGACTCTTGTGTTGAAAAAATTGTGATTTGCCTTTGTATGTTTATGTTTTTCATTAAATCGTTATTCATTCAGAGAAAGCTGATGCTTTTTAAAGCATGGCAGCAGAATTTTCATTCTACCCATATTCATGCTAGTGAGCACTAAGAGGTTAATTAAAACTAAGCCGCAACCTCAGGCTTAAGTTGATTTTCCCTAATTACTTGGACTTGAGAGTGATGAGAGCACCATATTTGCAAGCATGCTCTGGGCAGGTTGCTATTGTGCCTCATTATTCTGAAAAATAAAATCAATTAGGTTTATACCCAAGGTTTAATAATTTTAGAAAATGCACAATTTGCATCTAATTAAATCCCCTTGACAAAATGCAAAAAAAGAGAAAGAAATTATATATGCAATTTTGGGGCTTTTGAAAGAAAATGCATTTTTCCAACCTGGGAGCCCGACAGCATTCGCACGCTCTTTAGCCGCAGGATCATGAGGCCATAGCAGACAGTGATGATGAGGACGGGCATGATGAAGGCAAAGATGAACACACAGATCTTGAGCAGGGTGTCCCAGTACCAGGCGGGGTGGGGGAAATTCAGCTTGCAGTCCACTATGCCTGTGTCTGTGCAGGTTGAGAAGACACAGGATAGAGTCATCATAAACATTCATCATATGCATGTGTATGTATTTAACAAACTCTATTTTTGCTTACTGCCTATTTTTATTTTTTTTTTTTAAATCATCATTGAAAACTATTTTAAAAATTACTGATTAGAAAATGAACTGTGGAAATTACTTTCATAAGAGTCCAAATTTTCCATTCTTCACTTTATGAGAAGGGGTTGATTATAATCACTTTCAGTTGTAATATTTTATTATTGGACTCTAATGGTTAGATTGCAGTTCAAAATAATACCTATTATACTAAATAAACCCAGGCTGGGTCTTGGTGCAGCTCCACAGTTAATCAGCTGCCTAAAATATGGTATTTTACAACCCCCACCCCCCTCACATTAAGGTAGCTTTCTTCTAATTGGCTTTCTCTTGTAAACAGAAACGTTGAACAGAAGGTGTGCTCGCAGACAGAGCAGCATGCTCGAAACGACCATATAAAGAATCTCCACTTTCACTGACATCATACAGAGCCAAGAGCAGCCTGAGCTTTTGGGCTTGTAGGGCTTACGTATATAACCTGACCTCAGTATTTGAAACTTTGGGTATGTATACTATGAGCTCTATAGTCTCAGCATACACAAACATAAGATAGGATATAAACAGATCTATTTTAACTGCCTCTTTAAAATATGAAAATGCAGAAAAATAATTTTTCAGAGGGCAGTGTGACATCTTCAAATCGTGTTTTTTCTAAAATTAATTATGGAAAGCAAACACAACCAAAGAAGAAGCAATATCCCACATTAGAGAATCCTGTGGCTCATTTAGTGCTATATGTATGTGTGCGTGTGTGTGTGTGTGTGTGTACACAAAGACAGCAATGTCTTCCTGAAGCTGCTTGAGAAAAACCTTTTCACTGAAAACTGTTATGTCAAAGTAAAGCAATCACATCTTAAAGAACCTTGCCCCCACAGCTTTGCAGTAAATCTCCTTTTACTCTCTCTTCTTAAACAGATTGAAAGAATGCTTGAGTTTCATTTTTATTCAGTTACCGTCTTTCCCACTGCATTTGCTCCTGTATTTGCTCCTGGATATGCTTCCTTTTTTCCTTGCAAGCAGCTTTTTGGCTGTGAAGACAGCTGTATTTGACAGCAGCCAGAACGAGTTATTTGTGCAGTTACACAATAAATATTGTGATTTCTCTTCATTTACATGTGCTGGAGTGTGTAACTGCTTTTTCAATCAAAAATGAAGAGACTGAACTGAATGAGTTCATTATTGTTTTGTAGTTTTTGTGCCATTGTTAAAATGCTGTTTGTAAAAAGAAAAATTGCATAGGGTGTGTGTACATTTTCCCACACAACATTATTTAATATTTAATTCCAAATTTGGGTAACTCCTAACAATTTGACTAGTTTACTAAATGTATGATGAATTTTGTGGTGTAAAATACAGCGAAAGGGAAAAAAAAATGGCCACATATACTTGCAAGGGTTCATTTTGACTCCCCATTGAAAAACTATAGCTTTGGCTGGTAGCTTACTTACGAGGGATGACCACAGCGTTTTGGCTTTGGAAGATTTTTATGCTGGGTGCCTTTCCTGACACAACACTCAAGGGGTTTGTGTCTCCTCTCAGGATCAAGCCAGGGATAGTTTGTTAGGGAAATGTGTAAACCACTACAATACACTTATGGAAATTAATGAGGTAGCATACTTGACAATAACAGTACACTTGATTGCCTCGCGACACATGTTGTTTACACACTTTTTGATGTGAGGACTTCCGTATCATGAGCCAGAGTGAGCTAACAGGCAAACATGGGGGGCTGGAGTTAGATAAGCGGTGAATAATTATTAGACAGAAGAATGGGGTAGGGGTAGAGTATTGAGCAAAGGTAGAGTGAGACAAAGTAGATGTGTGCAGAAGTGGACAAGTTGATAGCTGTGCAGATCAGTGAAGGAACCTTAATTGAACTGAGCAAAGAATCCAGATTGTGGCAAACTGAGCTGAGCAAGTAACTAGAGAGAGCAAGGGAGCAGCGAATGTAAATTGGACAGGTTTCAGCAGAGCTGAGGAAGTGAAGGGCTGCAGATAGGATGGAGTTTGAAGGGATGAAGGCTGGCTGCAGGTGGAGTAGAAGTGGGTGGTGTGACAAACTTCCACTCTTCTACTTTTAGAATATGAAATTTGCTGCAAAGTGTTCCTTATTTTGTTGTCACTGTGGCCAACTGTGTGGTGAATTTTGGAATTTAGACAAAGGCTGGATCAGTACGTGCTGGCCAGCAATCTGTTCTTTATTTTGGCACACCCAACATCACTTTATTGTCGAAAATTCATTTTTAAATTTGTAATTTAATGTTCTTCTTCTAAAATAAGTTTGTTTGTTTTTTTTTTTGTTGTTTGTTTGTTTGTTTTATTGGTGGATTCTAGAGTTTTTTTTCCCCTTTTGCCAGTTCCAAACATGGATAAATGGGAGGTTTGTACCATCAACTTTGCTAAATCAAATATGCAGATTCATCTGCTGTGGCAACCGCCTGGGAAATAAGGGAGCAGCTGAAAGTAAAGCTAATGCAATAATCTAAGTAATTTGTAAAACTGAATCTCTACCGTTTATTTTGCCACATCTTATTTATAAACATGGATGAAAACAGACAACTTCTTCAAGAAATTGAATGACCTTCGCTATTTGCACGAGGGATCACAAAAACAGTTTTAGGGTCAAGGATGCTTTTAGCGGAGCTTTTTCATTTAACTTTAAAGTTGTCCAAAGCAGCACATCATCATACCTAAGGGGCAGAACAGGCTGATTGCAAATGAATCCAAAAATGACATAATTGTCTGCAGAGAGAACTAGCTGTTTCACTAGATGCTATCATTTCTTGGGCTAATGTTTTACTCACTGTCTATGCAGCAAAACTTTAATCATGAAGATTATTGTGATGAGGTCAGGCTGCTAAAACAATATGTAGTGTATTTACTTCCGTTACAATTTCCCCATTCATGCTAAAATTGAAGTGCTGCAAATCAGGATCAGCATTAGTGGTACATGTGTTCATACTTAAAGTGACAGTAGTGGAGGCCATGAACATGACAGGCAACCCAATTGCAGAGGAAAGAATCCAGTTGCAGACATTGACAATCTTGGCATTGCGTGGCGTCCTGAAGTCCAGTGCTTTGACGGGGTGGCACACAGCGACGTAGCGGTCGATGCTCATGGTGGTGAGTGTGAAGATAGAGGTGAACATGTTGTAGTAGTCGATGGACATCACCATCTTGCACAAGACGTCCCCAAAAGGCCAGGTCCCCATTAGGTAGTTAACACTCTGGAACGGTAGTGTGCTCGTCACCAAGGCGTCAGCCAGAGCAAGGTTGAAGATGTAGATGTTGGTGGCTGTCTTCATTTTGGTGTATCTGCACAGAAGACACATACTGGATATGTAAAAGGTCACACATGTTGCATTATTATGGGGGTTTTTTTTGTATTTATTTGATCCCTCTTTAGCTGTTCTGAGTGTCTTTATAGGTTTCTTGTCTTTTTATTTGCAGTAGAGAACATGACCAAGAAGCTCTGATCCACTACTGAGGTTTGACTCTGCAGCACAAACTGGTAACAGTCACTTCAAACAGTGGCTCTAAACCATTAGCTCGGTGACCCTTTGGGCTCAGCAGCTCTGTTCAGTAATTACAACTTGACATTTTAAACACATACTGAGAATTTTTCTCATTTTGTGAAATGAAAACAAAAACATATGTGAAATTCCCAAAACTGACAAAGGCCCTTTTTTTTCAGTCTTTACTTAGAAAGAACACTACTTCAACTAGTGTAAGAATAAAGAAAGAAAGCATCAGAAGGATACACATAAATAAAATGCAAAATTTACAGATGGAATCACACAGGCGTGACCA